AGAAATTGAATGAACAATTTGCATCTGTCTTCACTGCAGAAGATACAGGACAAATCCCCATATCTGCATTGTTTCCGGGAAAAGCATTTGAGAACCTAAGGAAGACAGTGGTGCAAAATATGACATTCTCTACCTGCTTGACTAATTTAAAATTAAGAAGGCATTGGGGCCAGATGGGATCCTAAAGATCTTAAAGAATTCGTGTATGAAATTGCTGACCTTCTTACCAAGATATGTAACATGTCCTTCAGATTAGCCTCTGCACTAAAGGACTAGGGAATGGCCAATGATCCAAAGGAGAATCTGAGATATTACAGGTTAGTTTAGCTTAACATCTGTGCTCTCTTCTGAGCTTCCTGTCAGACTCTCTGTTGCTACCATGTTCCATATGATGCTGTGTAATCAAAGAAGGTTCTCCAGACTTCACCACACCAGTGTGGTTTATCAGATAGCCCCCTCCACCCCCCAGAACAGTTACAGAGCTTTCCATTCTTTCTTGGCTTCTTTATCTCTTTCTTGTCTCTTCCTCTTCACTCCCTGCACGTCCTTCAGTCACCACCTTTCTGGTACTTAATTTTTTTTACCGCAAAACAGTGCCACTAACCATTACCTTGCCTACCCACAGGGTTGCTGTGAGGATATGACAGAAAGAATAATGTAGGCCAACTTGGGTTCCTTGCAGGAAAAGTGGTGCAGTGTCAATAAAATTAAATAATTATAGGACAGAACAGATACCATCGGAGCAGAACCTGTAGCAGTTAATTTTATTTTATTCAATACTCTAATTCTGCCAGGCATTTTGCCAACAGCAGGAACAAGATCTGTTAAGCCACTGGTCAGTGTTGCTGCTGCCCATGTGAAACTGGATGTATATTAATATTAATATTTATTTATTTATTTAAACCTTTTATATGCTGTCCTGAATATGAATTGCACAGTTGTGTTAGCCTGCCCTGCATTGTGAACTGTGAGTTCTAATAATGTTTAAAGCATTCATATTTAGGAAGTGAGATATTATATACAGAGAAATATAAATGTATGATTTCTGCATATGAAATGTCCTTTTAATTGCACAATTTAAATCTTCAGCAAACATTCTTTGAAAGGACACACTAAGAGACCCTTATTGGACTGTTTGGCTCATATTTACTTCCATGTGATGAAAAAGGTTACTTGCTTTAAGTAAATATGCTACATGAAGGCACAGAATACATAAATCCACAGATGTATAATATCTTAATGCCTAATATGCATATACCGTTTTGGAAGTCTCACCTAGATGTTGTCTAATGGCAATAAGGATTTGAAGTCAGTCTCAGGTAACTTTTAGGGGTCCTTTACAATCTAGTGTTTCTAATTGCAAAGAAATTCAGGGTTTTGGAAGGAAGCCTCTCCCACTAATAGAATGTGGCTTGGCCAGATCTTCCCAGACATGTCCTGAGAGTTATTCTAATGGACCATGACTCATCCTTTTGTCCTACTGGCAGACCAAGGAGAGAGGGCCAGCCTGTCCTACTCTTATAAGTAGTCCCTGCTGGAATTGGGTGTGAAAAGGAGGTAGGGAGTTGACTTTGCTCTTTGCAGGAAATTGTATGGCTCTATGGGCTCTGCTAGAAATCTTATGGAAAGAGTGTGATACCACAGTCAGGAGTTATTAATGTGCACTCTTTTATTTACTAAGGAAGTAAGTTACAGAACATCTTGAAGTCAATACACTTCTTGTACAAATAAAGTTTTATTCGTTTATTGTTAACCCAAAGTTATAGACTGTTTGAACACCTAGAGTCTCATCCTCAGGACCACATTGTCCACAGAAGGAGCTTGTGCACAGTATTGAGGGAGAGCTTAATTAACAAGATTGGAATTAAATTTCTGGCAGCAGCATTACATACTGAAAGGAAAAGAGGGATATATCGAGAGAGAGAGAGAGAGAGAGAGAGAGAGAGAGAGGAATGCCCCAACTTGTTCCAAAATAAAACTTATTTTGAAGGAGGCATGTAGTGGAGAGCTTTGTGAGTGCCATTGCATGGCCTTGTGAACACCATGTTTGGGACCCCAGGTCTCAATATAGCAACTAAAATGACACCCAAATATTATCATGCTGCAAAAAAGTGTCATACTAATATTCAAGAACTGATTTGAGCAGCACAAATCTTTACAAAGGACAAATGAAGTTCCTTTAATTCTGAGGTAAGTGCAAAGCCCAACTGTATAGCAGTGTTTTTTTTGCTACAGGATGTGTTAGAGAAAGTAGATGCTTTAAAACATCAGTGGTACCATTGGAATGTGACCTAAATGAATTGTGAAACTCCAAATCAGCTGGTTCATCCTGTCCCATTGCTCTCTATGTGACTAATAGTCTAAACTACTCAATTACAATCTAGATTAATACAGATCAAGTGGGATATATACCTAATAGGCAGGTAGCCAATTTAATAAATCATGTTCTCAGTATTATACATCATGGTAATACTAATAAAAAGTGGTAGCCTTTCCCTTCAACAGGTTTTAATTATCTTTTTTAAATAAAATCTTAATTTGGATTTTGGAAAACAATTCAGGAGCATCACCAGCCAAATTAATGGCATTAGATGCAGTAACCTGGGAAAATGCTCTTGACTTTTCCCATTTGGTACAGGCAGGGGTATAAAAAGTGATAGCCACTCTCACCAGCTACCTTGTTTTAAAGGAAAAGCACAGCTTTTTTATTGCAGTAATGGCAATAACCCACAGTTGGTTTGTCTGGACAGCCCCCTGGACCAGCCAAAGTTGCCCATCCTTGGTATCAATAAACACAAAGCAAAGCAAAAGATGTCAAAGGTAATGTAGGTCGAAGAAATAAACTAGTTGCAAATGCTCCAATTGCAAAGTTTTGCATCTAACAAACAAGAATTAAATTAATACATTATTAGAGCTTTTGAAAATGAGTGTATAATAAAGATACCACACAAAAGGTATAGTTTCCTATATCTATACCTTGTTGATAGCAGATATAGGAAACTTTTCTATGGGACTTTTTTGATATCAAAACTGTGTGGAAGGCAGATATTTGGCCTTCAGTCCCTTCAATCCCAGATCCAAAATGGGCTCATCAGTACATTTTTAAAACAGTATCAGCAGCTATAAAAGAATCTTGTCTAAAAATCACAGATGGCATTTAATGCCAGTAAGGTTGTATTGTATCAGTAAAGCTCTGACATTCCTATCAGGAAGACAATGCATTAAGACAGACTTCCTATGCTACATGTGGTAGATGTGCCACCTTTGTTCAGTTATTTTAGAAATCAGTTTTTTGAAAAATATCAATGGTTGTGCAGAACTAGATTCAATGAGACCCTTTACTGCCACTCTTCCCTATTTATCATGGTTCACAAGAAAGATTTAATGGTAGCATTCAGGCTGGAAATTGAAAAGAAAAAAAAGAGAAATGCCAGGGTGCAGACAATATGTAGCTGCTTCTCTAAATTGGCAGTCTTGGCAGAGAAATTAACACATGGAATCATACTAATTAGAGGAACACCTAAACAAAAATATTTTAGAATGATGTCTTCTATTCATTTCTTTTATAAACAAAACACCATGCATTATTTATTGATTCACTTATTTATTATGTTTATTTCAACAATCTCTTGACTGGCTTTCAAGGCAGGAGACCTCCCAAGCTGATGTACAACACTTAAAACACATTAAAAAATGATGCTGTATTTAAAAAGATGAAAACACAATAGCAGCAGCATCAAACATTCTTAAATATCTGCACAAAACATACAACAGACAATTGCAGTCACAAGCAATTCCAGTTAAACATATTGCTGTGTTACAAAAATTAAATTCAGGCAAGCAGGGTTCTTCCCCTGGTACTTGGGAAGCCAACCTATAAAGTTTGCTAATAGTAAGCTATGGCAAATCTAGACGGCATACTAAAAAGCAAAGACATCAACCTGCCGACAAAAGGCTTAGTCAAGGCTATGGTTTTCCCAGTTGCAATGTATGGCTGTGAAAGTTGGACCATAAGGAAGGCTGAGTGCTGAAGGATTGAGGCCTTTGAATTGAGGTGCTGGAGGAGACTCCTGCGAGTCCCTTGGACCGCAAGGCGATCAAACCGGTCAGTCCTAGAGGAGATCAACCCTGACTGCTCTTTAAAAGACCAGATGCTGAAGATGAAACTCAAATACTTTGGCCACCTAATGAGAAGGAAGGACTCCCTGGAGAAGACCCTGATGCTGGGAACGATTGATGACAAAAGGAGAAGGGGAAGGCAGAGGTTGAGGTGGCTTAGATGGAGTCACTGGGGCTGTGGGTGTGGGCTTGGGTGGACTCTGAGGGATGGTGGAGGACAGGAGAGCCTGGAGGAATGTTGCCCATGGGGCCGTGATGGGTTGGGCATGACTTAGCGACTAAACAAAACAAGCAAGCAAATAGTAAGCCAGAGGAGAAGGGTTAGGGAAGAGAGTTTGGGCATTCTTTTTTATGAACATATTTTAATTTAAATAGAACCTGCATTATATTAATGCTATTGCAACAATTACTTCAATACTCATGACAATATATAACAACTTAAGGAAATGGAAACGACTACAATCTTATATGTATTAATCTTATTTCTGTAGTAGTAAAATATTCCTTAGAAGGTAGCTGTGTCAATCTATCTACACCAAGTCTCCGATTGGCGAGTTCGAGGGTCTTGTTCCGCCGCTTCACCCTCCTCTCGCCCCGCCTCCACAAGGAAATCACTGCCACGTCGTGATTACTTACACCTCCACTGCCTGCACCAATCTCACGCAAGAGTGACGTGTAACGACCGAGTTTTTACGAGCCTCCTTCTTGCCCTGACTATAGAGTAAAGGGGGAGGAACCTCGGCTAGGGTACTAAGGGAGGGGAGGGGAGCGGAGCGCTTCAGGCGCAGGCGCAGCGAGGGCCTCCCGAACCAACGGCTTCCTGAGCTCCACGTGACTACCTTCGTCACCGTCGCCCCGTGCGCGAAAACCCGGGGCGCGCGCCTGCGCTGGAGCGCTGCGGCCGCCGAGGTTCGGCGGCGGAGGGGTGACGTTGCGCTCTTGGGCCGTGCAAGGCTTAGGAGGCGCTCCTGCTCGCCGAGCGGAGTCAGGCAGCGCGTAGCAGCCGCCGAGCCGTGTGGGGCTTTCGGTGTCCTTGCCCCCGGCCCTGGGAGGGTGAGAGATGCGTTCGGCGTGACGTGAGCCCCTGCTCGGTCCCACTCCCCGCTCGAGCCATGGCTGCGCCGAGCTGGCAAGAGGTTGTGGCCCAGCAAGCCGAGGAGTTGTCGGCCCGCTTGCGGGACGTGCTGTCGGCTGGCGCGGGCCTACTGCGCACCGAGCTGGGCCTGGAGCTTCCTCCGGGCCTGGAGCCGCACCGGCTGCCTACATGGTTATTACTACTCTCCACCTCCGTCGTGGCGCTCCTGCTCCTGCTGGGGCTTCTGTGGGCCGCAGGCTGCACCAGAGGAGGAGATTCTCGCAGAAAGCGGTCCGGGAGAACACCCGCGATGGAGGAGGAGGAGGACGAAGAAGAGGACGAAGAAGACGAGAGAGCGGCGGCGGCGGCCTTGGGCCTGGCGCGAGGCGGCGGCAGCCCTAACAAGGGGGTAGCTGGCACAGCCACAATGCACTTGCTGAAAGGGGATGAGCAGAAGAAGCGAAATAAGAAGAAACCACCGGAGAAAACGGGCAGGGTGAGTTAAAGGAAGGGAGCTGTAGATGGGAATCGACGGTACAAGGAAGCCTGGGGGGAAGAAGGGACACTGGGTCATTTAATGCCGTGATACAGCATCATTAATCTCTGTTGAGCTTTTGAGTTCAATTTGCTACTGGCGTTCTACACAACACTTGCATGTTAAAAAAAATTGTATGCATGAACTTGATTGCAAGTGCAAGAATCAGCTGGTCTAGATGTTGCATTTGTAAAACCTGTTCTTTCCTGTCCTTTTCTCTCCTTGTTTTTAAATCAATACTCTGAACTGGGGCCTCTCAGAAAGCTCTTGCAACTACTTTTATAAATTGTGAACTTGTTAATTGTTGAAGTTATCTCTAATCGATTGTGGATCCTTCTGGCATTTCATTGCTCCTGCTACTTTTCCCATGAGGGGTTATCTACAGGCTATATCATTTGCATCATTTCTTGACTTTCTAGTGTGCCTGCACACACCAAAATACATACATATATGATTGTAGGAACACTTCATACTGTGTTCCATAGAGAAAGTATAACATATGAACCAATGATCCTTGGAGGACTGCAGTGTCAAAATTTAGAACTTCATCTTGCCTGGTGCAGCTGTATTAGCAGCTGTTTAATCCTAGACTTGCATTTGAGTAACACTATTCAGTTGGTGGGAATTTATTCAAAGGAAATAATGAATTGATTAGTTTGCTTTGCTTTGGTTTTGTTCTCACACTACATCAGCTTTTTTTCTCTTATGTATTTGGAGAATGAATGTTAAAGATTTAAATTAAAAAGGTGGAAGTGTGGAAAAAACAATTGTGGCAGCAAACAGACTTGGAAATTTCGTGCCTCCGGTATATTCTATTATGGGGTGATGTCCACATTTCCCAGAAATATGCACAATTCTTGTTTAAGAATTTGAAGTTGGCTGACTTTTATTCATGCAAATTTTGATACTGTCATCAATTAAGTTCTATAGGAAATTTACAAAATTTATAAATCTGAGGGTGGTTTATAGGAGCTTGAACTGTTTTTCCAGTCATGTGATGAATGCAGTTTAGTAAAGTCTGTCTTTTTAAATACATTATGGGGTGAGCTGTGGCAAAACTGAATATGTTCTTGCTATGGCATACTAAATTTCCAAATTTCTATGGTATCATCATGTTTTCTGGCTTAATGGCATATTGGCAAGTCCATTCATAGGCCTAAAGTTTGAAGTGTACTGTAGTTTACCAGATATTCCCAACACTAATGCATCCTGTGCTTCAGATTATGGCACTTCTGATTCTTTCTTATGACACAGTTTTAGGAAAGATAAATAGTAACGCAGTGAACATTTGAAATAATATATTGGAAATATTATGAATGAGAGCTGGCATTTTCTGGAAAAACTTGAAGCTGAAAACTGTTTGCTTTAATCTTGGTGCTGCAAATCTAAACAGTTGGGTGAGTGAAGGGTTTAAATATTACAGTTTTTTCTTCTCCAGATCAAAGTATGATTCCTTAAACCAATAAATAGAATTGGTAATAAAGGCTGAAATGCTTCAGTTTAGTTTAGCAGGATAATTAAGAAAAATTGGGTTGCTTGTTCTGGAGGGCTTTGCACTCTTCTTGAAAATGAAATGTCACAGTATGGGGGAATTCCTGATTCCACCATTACAGTATGATATTCAGATTCAATCTGGCATGGTTCACTTTTTCAGTTTCTTCCTCTACTGGGGACCTGACCACAGACTCGTAATCTTACAAACTGCATCATGCATGGCATGATACATCTTGCTGCTCTTAAGGTTTTTCAGAAGCTGGGCACAGTTCGCAATGGTGGTTCTTGCCTTTAAATCCTGAAACTTGGGGAGCACCTTCTCTCACATAAAGTTCCTCTGTGCTACCTTCTTTTGAGACCCTGTTTCAGGTTATATGGAACTTAATGACAGGACCTTTTTGGTGGCCCCCACGTTCCAGAGCTCCCATCCTGAAGAGGCTTGCTCCCTATTTGATGCTCTTAGTTCTTAGATCTTTATAATAGTTTTGTTTTATACTTTTACCATAGAAGCTCTAGTGGAATGTGCAAAGATGCAAGGAGCCTGCTTGGAACACACAGGCTGGCTCCCCACCAAGAAACACCTGTCCTAGTCATCGCTATCTCTCTCATAGCCTGCATGGCTTGTGGGATATTACATTGCATTTTCTGGCTAGATCTGTATCTTTGAGAGAGTGATCTGTGGAGAGCAAGGGGAGATGCAGACAGCAAGGATGTAAAGGAGGAAGGAGTGAGAGCAGAATGCTCGGCAAGTGCTCATGCCTCAGCCTTCCCTTTCTGAGGAGGAGAAGGGTGCAGTGACTGTGGGCTTCTGTTCCATTTTATCCCTTAGGGATTGAAACAGAACTCTGTTCACAGTAGTTAGGCTGTGATCCTGCAAGACAGAAGTGCTTATGAGTGTTTGGCTAGCAATAGGAATGGTTGGAGTGGATTGCACGGCCTTCACAAAGAAGAACTTTCATGAGTATCCTGTGTGGGTGTATCCTGTCTGTGTGTGTTGGAGGCACTGATCCCTGCTGTGGAAAGGGAAAGAATGTTAGAATAATACTATTTAGACAACACAGTACTTATCTGTGGGAAAATGATGAGAGAAACATGGAAGATGTTGGTAATGCTTTTTAGAAATTGGCTTTTCCTTTGATCTGTTGTACACCTTGCTATAATGAGTGTTCTTTTTATGAGCTTTTTATGCAGATACATTTAAATATCCATAACAATGGGTATATATAAAATGCATAATGAAAAACAACTGACTAGCAGTTATACATAGACTTCAACAAAAGCAGGCCAGATATCCAAATAAGTATTGCTAGACAAATCTTGTGGAATTCTATGATAAGATCTCACGGTGGAGGGGACGCAGTGGTTAAGAAGGCAAATGCCACCCTTGGGTACATAGCCAGAAGCATGGCTTCCAATCCAAGGAAGTGTCAATACCACTGTATACAACTCTAGTGCGCCCACAACTGGAGTATGTGTCCAGTTCTGGGCTCCACATTATAGAAGAGACATAGCTAGGTTAGAATTAATTCAGCACAGGGCAACAAGAATGGTAGCTGGATTGGGAGGAGAGATTGCGGGAACTGTGTCTTTTCAGCCTGGAGAAGAGGAGACTTCAAGGTCATGTGGAGGAGAGCTGTGGCCTGTTCTTCTGTGCAGTGGAGGGCAGGACGCGTTCCAGTGGGGCAGAGCTCAAGGAACCAGGCTTCAGGTTGGATGTCAGGAAGTGCTTTCTGGCAGTTAGGACCCCTAGAATATGGAATGGGCTTCTGAGGGAAGTGGTTGAGGCCCCATCAGTGAGGGTGTTCAAGGAACGATTGGATAACCTCATGTTGGGGATTACATGAGTGGAGCCAGCTGGAGCCAGGGGTAAGACTAGATGGCCTGGGAGAGTTAATCATGGCATTTATATGCTCTCTGTTGCAACATTTGATTATCAATACATTCTGTTATAGGAGATCAATGTTTATCCTTCCAATGCCATGGTATCAGTCTTTTAGCTGTCAAGAGGGCAGAAAGAATCCATTCATGCTGACCATTCATTCATTTCCATAAAACAAGTAAATAATTAAGATATTACATATACAGCTCATGCAGACTGTTCCAGTACAAAATTTAATAATCTGTTCCCAGATTGAAGTAACTACTGGACGTTGCCAAAACATATTTAAAAGAAGACTTAGCTGCATTGCACTTCCAGCAATTAGTTGAATTAGACATTCTCTTATTAAAGAGATGTTGTGCTATCCAATAGACATGAAACAAAAGTTTTTGCTGAATGACACAGCCTAAGATCCATAGGCATAGAGGCCAATGTGCTGACCCACTGATTAGGCAAAAATAATACAATTCACTTCTTTATTCCATTCCTGCTTAGAACTTTATTAATTTTATTCTCCAGTAACAAATATGTGTAGGCGTGGATTGTGAGTTGCTTTGCCTGATCAAAATCAATAAAATGCTTCTAGTAGCGGTGAAGGCTGCTGCTTCAAAAGCTGCAGGCTAAGCTTAGATATTAACAAATGTTGCAATTGAAAATGTTGCCTTTGCACCAGATGTGTCCGTGGTCTAGAGGAACTTAAGATATGGCGTAAATGTGTTCATCCTCTCTGCTGTCAGCCCTGTGCTGTTGATGATCATGGCCCATTTTTGCTGTTCTGCTACTGGATTGCTGTGGTGTATCTTTCCTATTGCAGGTGTAGCTGGGCTTCCACCAAATTCTATAAACCCTTGTCTAACTTTATATTTGTAGGGATGTTCTGTCAGATCTAGGTTCTTGAACTACAAACTCACAGCCAAGTATTTGGCTAGCTTTTTAGAACAAAGTCCAATCCGGTGCTTCCTGCCACGTCACTAGCACACTGTCCAGTTGCTCTCTCCTGCATGTCCAACCATAGGTGGTCTCCATTTTTGCAACATAGTTTTACTCTCCCTAAATTCTTTTATGAAAATTTCAGTTGTTTTTATTCTAGGTTTACCAACAGTTGAAAAAGTGATTGAAAAAATAAATCAGACCTGGGAAAAGGGAGAACAAGATCAGATTTGTGGTTTCCTAATTATATGTGTGTATGTGTGTGCATGCATATGTGTGTTATCCCTCTACCTGCCTAAGGCAGTTTATGTAGCTTTATTACACATTTAAGAAGCTTCCACTCTTAAAGACAGCCTAAGAATATTTTTCAGTAAAATATAATTTTGAATATTTGACTTGCTGCTAAAGGTGATTTGACAGTGAAAAGACTAATAGCCCTGCAGTGTAAGTGTTTCTACCTCATGCTGTAGTGTAGGCAAGAGATGAAGTTGCCTTAGTGGGTCTGACTTGACTCCTCTAATCCCCCTCCTTTTCAAATGTCCTTTTTCAGTTAAGGTGACCAGAACTAAACGCAGTATTCCAAGTGCAGTCACAACAAAGCTTTGTATAAGGGAAGTAAGATTTTGATAAATCTATTTTCTATTGTCTAATGATGCCTAGCATGGAGTATGCCTTTTTCACAGTAGCTACATACTGGGCCAACATTTTCAACAGGACATCCACTAGTACCCCAAGATCGCTTTCTTGCTCAGTCACTGCTAGTTCAGACCTCATTAGCATATGTTCAAAGCTGGGTTTTTTTCCTCCAACGTGCATTACTTTACACTTACTTAAAAGCAGAGTATAAATCAAATAAATACAATTAAATATGTGAATGTGATCTGATTTTGATGCTACATTGGGAACAATTTGCTCTTTGTTTGCTTCCTCTGCTTGGATAACTTCCAGTCCCATTTGAAGTGAAATATGTGGAATGGAAATAGAATTACTTCAAGCTGCAACGGTCTTGTTGTAGGGGCTTATTTGCGCCTATTAGAAATGATTTGAGTCTTCTCATGGTCACACATCTGGAACCAACTCCATATGAATGGTGTTGGGATTACTTGGTATCAGTGGAGAAATCAAGAACCTGGATGTAGCTGAGAATGGGTACATGTGTCCACACACCCAATGGAAGTGGGGAAAATCTCATAAAAGCTACTTATATCTTTAACTAGTTGTTCAAAGGTTTTAGGATTATGATAGACTGGCCTTGGTGACTAGCCACTAGTAGCATTCTGGTTAGATTACAACAGGGTGCTTGAAGTTGGTTTGGAAATTCCTGCTAGTGCTGAATGCTGGTGCCTTGTGATTGGTGGAAACAGCAAGAAGGGATTGTATCACCCTGAACCTGAAAGCATTATACTGACTTGTAGTTCACAATTGAGCCTGTTAGCTCAGGGTTGTTGCTGGCTCAGCCTAATTTGGGATTTAGCCACTTTAGGAAGCAGTTCCCACATTATCTTATGATTAGCCCCTTGTCCTGTCAGAAGCAGAGACTAGGAAAGAGGTGACATGAAATAGGGCATTCTCTGTGGTGGCACTCTGAGATGACATTAAACTTAATTGTTTAAACGAACACTGCAGTTCAGGTGTTTTGATGTTAATGTATAGGGTGTTAGAGGCTTATTGACACTGCTTATGGTATCTCTGATAAATTTTGTGATTGTTTTATGATTTTATTATCTTGGCTTTGTTAGACATCCTGTGTTTCAGGAATGGAAGAAAGGTGAGAACCAAAAATACAGAATGAATAAAAACATGATATATGTAACAAATATACACATCTGTAGTAAGTATGCTCAGTGGGACGACAGTGCTGATTGACTGTGTAAGTGAGGTCAAAAAATGGTGTGAACAGGCAAGGCAGACTGAGATCCTGAACAGAAGACCTCTACACTGCAGCATTTTGTTGCAGGGGCACACTTGCAATATTACAGTTATGCAACTGAGCAGCATTTAGGATAGGATATGCTAGTTTGGTGGCTTTGGGCTACATGCAACAGAAAGCAAATTTTAGTGTTCTTTTAGGGAAAACTTTCTTTTATTCTGGAAATAAGAGCAGTGCCAAATGAGACTTTAGATTTATATTACTAGAAATCTAAGAAGATTAAGCAATAATCTGGATAGATAAGTTTATACATTTAAGACAGGCTCAATTTGTACAACACTGGCTGACTTCGACAGGGCAAAACATTTGTATCACATCATAAAAGATTTAAGATTTATAGCTCTGTGTACGCTCTCTAAAATTTTATGTTGTTCTATTTTTTTAATTCATCTAGCTTAATGGTCAGCCTGCTCATGAAATGTCTGAAGAGGAAATAATTCAGACAGTTCGAAGTGAAAACCTAAAGCAGCCATCAGATGCGGAAAAGAAAATTGAAAAGGTAAGTCGTTGATTTGTCACTGACTGAAGGCTCAAATGAAATTATTTCTAACTGGTAGTGTGCAAAGCTAATTTCACACCATAGCTCTGCTGTTTTTGGTTGCTAGTCACAAGCTGTTTTGTGACCACTTCTTCCTGCTCCTCCCACCAGGATAAGATTAGGATCTGGTCTTCATTATCTTGCTGAAGATAATGTGTGATTGCAGAAACAAGCCCTTGTCCTCATCTCTGGCCTGGAGAAAGATGTTGGTTTCTTAAACCTCAGAGGAGCTTTTAAAACATGGGGAAAGCAACCCTAGGGCTCTCTAGACAGTATCTAGAGGGCCATAGGCTAATTTGGATTCCCAGATACAAGGCTGCAGATAGACTCTAACTTCAGAGTCGAGGAGCCATACTCTGATTCCTCTCCCACCCTCAGTGGATGCAGAAAGAACCATGCTGGCTGCCTCTCCATGGTTGGGAAATTAGCCTCAGAAAGAGGGTAAGGAGGTTGTCCTAGGAGGTTGGGAAGGGAGGAAGAAAAGTATTCTGATGGTTCTCCAATCTCCTTCCTTCCAACTTTGAATTGCTTCAGAATGACTGAAAACAGATGTCAAGCTGAATTGCAGGGAGGTGGAGTTTGTAAGTAATGGAATGCTTGTAAGTCTCCAAGTTCAGGGGCTAATGGGCATTAACAGTTCAGTTCATAGGACTGTGGCCTAAGATATTTCATTTCCCAAGGCTCATTATAGCATCATGGCTGAATGTGGGCAGGCAGAAGGTAGATAAGGAACTACTGCTCATCGTCATCATCATCAATTTCATTTCTCTACTTCCCAATAACCAAAGCTCTTTCAGCAGTCCATAATAATTTGTAAAACTAAAACTGGAAATAAAATAATAAAATGCAGTATAACCTTTCAATATATACACTTTAAAACAATTGAAATAGCCAAAACACTTTCCATAAAAATGTTAGAAAGAAAAGATAATATATATGTCCCACATGTCCCATTAAATACCTGAGAATAAAGGGCAACCTTAACCTGGAGGCAAAAAGATAGCAGAGTTGGTGCCAGATGGGCCTCAGGGGTTCATTTCATAACCAGGAAAGGCTCTGAGAAGGCTGTGTCCCTTGCTGTCTCCTTCAGATCTGACTCTTAGAGAAAGGCCTTCAGTGTTGGATGTCCTAATAAATTTCGTAACCATTCCATCAGGCATTGTCATTCTAAGCTATGTAAGACTTTATAGGCTAAAACCTTGAATTGTAATCTCTCATATGCAACTTTGAGATACTAGTTCATCAGAGAACTTCTGAGTAGTTCTAGTAGGATTGTAAAAGGATTCTGTGAAAATGTCATAGGAATAACCAAATTATATTTACCTGTTCAGCAGATAGAAAATCATAGATCATAAAAGCTTGAAAGTTTGATTATAAACATATTGATTATGTTCACACAACACAATTACCCACACTCAAGGTTGTTTTTGAACTCTGGTTCTCCTTTTGTTTGGTAATGCCTAACAAATCATGTTTTGTTAACATGGCTGGATTCAAATAACACAAAGTCCCTTTGTTTAGACAACCAACACTCAAGCTATGTTAAACCTTGAGTGTGAGTTATTATGTTGTGTGAGTTCAGCCATTGACTTTGTTGTTGTTAGTCGTGAAGTCGTGTCTGACCCATCGCGACCCCATGGACACCATTCCTTCAGACCTTCTTGTCCTCCACCATCCCCTGGAGTCCACCTATGCTCACGCTGACTGCTTCAGTGACTCCATCTAGCCACCTCATTTTCGGCTGTCCCCTTCTTCTTTTGCCGTCAGTTGTTCCCAGCATTAGGCTCTTCTCCAGTGAGTCCTTCCTTCTCATTAGGTGGCCAAAGTATTTGAGTTTCATCTTCAGTATCTGGCCTTTGAAGAGCAGTCAAAAAGCTTAATATCTGACAACACAAAGTCAATTCACACAACATGACAGCCCCCAGCTGGGTATTGCATATTCATAATGACAGCCAGCATGCACCACAACTCCTTGAGGGTAAAGTAATCCTCTCTGACCTTTGTTATGTGAACAAAGTCTAAGTGAATCATTGTTATTGGCACACTTACTTTTAGCAGTACTGTTAATGCTATACATGTCTACTCAGAAGTAAGACCTTTTTCCAAAGCATTTAGGCTAATGGTCTTAATTTGTAGAATGTTAGGAAATACATTTTGATCTTAGCAATAAATATTAATCATTGTACTGTTGGGTAGAACGAAACTCAGGCATTTATAACCTATATTTTGCTTTGGGGGAACCTTAGGTCTCTTAAGAAACATTTGTACAGCTGTGTGTGACACATTTGGGTTCTAAATGATTTCTTCAGAATGACACCTGCTACTAAACTTAGTATATTTTCTGTTGTAATACCTGATGCTCAGCTTCAAGTATTTTAATAATATTAATACTGAAAGAAAATACTTGTTCTCTATTTTAGTCAAAGAAGAATAAGAAGAAACCAAAGGGAGATGCTAAAACAGTTCAGGATCAGACACGTGTGGATGGAAAGGAAGTTGATGAAGGTACTGAAACACTGAAAACGTATTAAATTGGATTCCATTAGTATTATTCTTGGAGCGGAATTGTGCTTGGAATACTGTTGCCAGCAAAAGGTTTACTTATTTACCTATTTCCCCCTCTTTCAGTAGACCCCAGCACTGCCTCTCTCACTGTTCACTAGAGCAGATTGGAGGGACACAGGGAATCACAAGGAAGTAATCATTAAAGGTGGACCTTATGAATAAGAAACTTTCAGCAGATAGAATGAGCCCTTTCGTCTATGGGAGGCGGATCCTGAATTCAACCCACAATTAAGAAAGTCGTGGTTCATTCAATTCCATCTTAAAATGAATCATGTTTCTAATCTATTAATAAGTTGCTACTTCTTACATTAACAAGTCAGTATTTACAGGTCGAGTTAGGAAAGCAGTCAGTAGTCTATTGTTGTTTTATATGCTGCTGTTGTGTTAAGAATTCTGTTTTTAGGTAATTGGAGAGTTCTCAAGGATTGGATATTGGGAAGTAACAAAGGCCAGACATTTTGGGAAATTTTGGAAGGTTATTTTAAAGGAGAGGATAGCTATGTTAGAGAAAATCCATTAAAGGTGAAAATTCAATTAAAATAACACTTTCTTAGTAGGTATTTCAAACTTTGCCCACAAGGTTTCAGTTCAGCCAAAACTAGCAGCTGTAGTTAAAACATTCAAAACAACAAAATGTTTTGTGAAAGCATCACAGTATCATCCTGTACTGTGGTTATGTAGCGAACATGCTGGTTTTCTCTTTGAGGAACCTTTGACAAGCTTCCAAGGAACATCAAGGATTCCTTTAAACAAGGTGTGGAAACCATTGAGTTACGTTAGATCTTTTGTTGTGTCTAATATACTTTTGTGGGTTTTTCAGGAGCTTGGGAAACAAAAATCAGTAACAGAGAGAAACGCCAGCAGCGTAAACGTGACAAGGTACTGTCTGATGTTGGGTCAGAGTCAAATCTAGCAGCTATGGAAAATTCAGTTACAGTATCCACTGAACAACTAACATCTGCAACATCCTTTTCAATTGGTTCCAGAAAAAGCAAAGGTAGATATGTGACTTCTGTTACTTCTGTTTTTTGTTTCTCATCTTGGGGGTAGGTCATCAACACATAACAAACAAGCAAAGATAATACTTGAATTGAAAGGAAAACCCTTTATGAATTTAAAGATGGTTTTAAAATATGTTGTTCAGTGCTGATGAAAACTTTGAACATACATCTCATTAGCTAAGGAGATTTTTATATATGAGAGACTTAGAAGCATTCCTCAGACATTCATTTTCATCTGTGAGGCTGTCCTCTGACAGTCCTATCAGAAATTTTGCCATGATTTTGTATCCCACAGGTCACTGCTAATTTGTTGCAGTTCCCTTGAGTCCTTGTCCTACTCCAGATATCCTGCAATAAGTTTGTAGTCCCTGTGGAAACCCAGTTTGTAATAAACAGTTGCTTCACATTTTTATTTTGCAGGAAAATGAATTTTTCCTTTATACTATATTTGGTATTTTGAAGCTCTTTTGAATTAAATTGAATAAAAGTCTTTACATCAAGTAAACAAACATTATGATGAAGAAATGTGTTTCTGAACAGTTACATAGTTACCTCACACTTTACAAAGTATGCCAGCAACTTCAGTAGCAGAATGGGATTGTAGTACTTCATGATGATGTCATTGTATTTCTTGGTCATATTTATATGTTCCCCCTTTGTGTAAAACTCCCAGGGTGCCTTTTGTTCTAAATGGTAAAATTACAAGTGCAATCACTGACAGAATTAACATTTAGAGTTGCTGATACAGTTATTAAGCATGCTTCACTCAAGTAAATGTGGTAGACACCAGGTCATAGTTCGTAATATGGATTTCTATGGCACTTCTATGTGTTCTCTTTGTTCACAAGAAGGGGAGAAAAATATAGTTAGTATTAAATTGGCAGATCTTAATTTTTCCAAAGACTGACAATATAGATTTTTAATCTATATTGTAAGCCGCCCCGAGCCTTTTTGCGAATGGGGCGGCATAGAAATGGTTTAAATAAATAAAATCTGTTATAGCTGTGGTTTTTGACATAATAATGTATAACCACCATCTTCATCCTTGCCTTGATATATGAATATTATATTTCTCCCTACCTTGTATGACAGGTCATCAGTGACAAGCTTGCATACCCCTGCCGTGTATCTGTTTTTCAGGAAACAGCTCTATGGAGGATAATGATAGTGATCAAGAGCTCTTTTATTATTGATCACAAAAGAATTGTAAGACTTGAAACCAAGAGTTGAGATTCATATAAATATTTTCAGATACTTTGTTCTGAGTTTTGAGCCTTGTTTCATAACTACATTTGAAATAAAACTCTATATCTCAGACCACAATATCTAGATAGTTTTTGGAGAAACGTAAGAGTTGTTCACATAGGTCTTGTGTTGTCTATTCCTCAACATCAATGATAGCCTGATGTATTTGCTAGTAGGATATTTAGTCATTAATCCTTTTCTTAATCAGGTGAACCTGCTTTGAATGTTCAAGCTAGTAACTCTAAATCTGGAAAAAGTGATGGTGCACTCCAGCAAGGTAAGATCTGTCTACTTTGCATGCTAATTCTCATTGAAGTTCTGATGCCATATGTTTTCTTATTAGATATATTTCCCACTTTTTTCTTACAAACTCAAAGCGGGTTACATCGTTCTTCTCCTCCTGCTCTGAATCTTATTCCCACAACAGCAAGCCTGTGAGGCAGATTGGGCTGAGAGTCTGACTGGCCCAGAGTCGCCCAGTTGGCTCCATGGTTGAGTAGGGACTTGAACCCAGGCCATCTCAGTCCCACACTCCTGACCACTGCACCACACTGGCTTTTGATTAAAATCTAGGATTTTATGCACTGACTTAGGTGGAACTTTCACCTACTTAGGCAGATCACCAACATGCAGCTATATGTCTGACTAATTGCTATACAGTGTTTCCTAATGTGCACAGTATATTTTCTTCCCCACCATTTTTATTCCCACCCCCTCATCGAAATTACTCTGTACTCAGAACTGCTAATCTGAATACATGGAACCCATGTGAGTTTATGAAGAGAATTTGTGATGGTGATCACAATAATTGAAAGTTAATTACTCCATACAGCCTGGTCTTACATGTTTACTCAAAAGTAAGTCCCAAGTATTTATGCTCGAATGTAAAGTATAGTAAAGAAAAACTCATTTTATAGCTCTAGTACTGGCTAAATGTACTGCCTTCTAGCAAGCTATTTTATATTTGTGAGAAAAAAAAAGCAAGATTTTTTTCTAGTCTTCCACCTTCCACTCCTGCAGTTCAATTGCAGCCTGAGGGACTGTATACCAATATACCTTATTTGGCCTTTCAAAGGATCTGATAGCCACATTTAGACAGTCCAAGGGAGTATATCTAACTGCTTGGCAGAAGCCTAAAAGAAACCCTGAGGTCTTACTGATAATATCTTCCCAATTTTGTCTGAGCTGGGAGAGTATGGTTACTAACTTATAAAAAGCCTGGATGTTAAGTGATGGTATGAAGTTGGCTGATCAAGATGGCACGGTCTGAAGCTGGTAGCCCCAGTTGACCATTTCCAACAAAACAGGAAACTATAGAATTTATATCTTATTGCATTTGTATCTTTTTCCCCTCCAAGTAACCCAAAGTGGCTTACACGGTCTTCCTCCTTTCCATTTCAGCCTTACATCCACACTGTGTGGTAAGTTAGGCTGAGAGTGAGTGACTGGCTGAAAGTTACCTAGTGAAATTTATGCTCAAGTTGGGAATTGGAACCCATGTAACATCTGCCATTGCACCACACTGGTTAATGAAAATATCCTAGTCATCATGAAATAGTGACAATTAGCCAACTCTTGCTGGGAGGAAATTATGGTAGGGACGTGGGTCAAAAAAGAAAGGTTTTGCCCTAAAATAAGAATTGCTTTTAATGTGGTGTGTTCTATAGTCAAGAATGTTTGTTGTAGTGCTTTGTTTAATGCCAGCAAATGCTTCACTCAGGTATATGTTTTGTGTTCAGTTTCTTCAGGAATGAGTGAAGGCCCCACAGTAAATGGAGGCAACTGGAATGAAAAGCCTGTAAAGCTTTCTCCTCAGATTGGTCCAAGTGAGGAGAAATGGACTCCCGTGTCATCTGCAGGTAGCAAGAGGAAGAATGAGACATCAGCTTGGGGAAAAGATGCTGGAGATAATGGAAATGGGAAGGATTGGGGAGTGTCCCTGGTGGGCAGAACCTGGGGTGAGCGCACTTTGTTCCCTGGTATTGGTAAGTGCAAGTGCTTGTTCCTCCAAGAAAGTATTTGTCAAAGTAGCTGGGATTAGTACTCTGAAAAACACATACACAGTAACAACAGCCCAGCTTCAGTGTATCTTTAACTTCCTGCTCATTACACAAAATGCTTGCATCCCATTTTTCAACAACATTCTTTGAATAATGACTAGAAATATTGAGTGTGTTTTTTCATCATTAATGGTTATATTATAAAGAGCTACCTGAGGTCAACCTGAAGGTTCCTGGTCCTCCAGAGAACATTTTGATATTTCCCCAGTAGATCTCCCCACACTTTATCATTTGAATCCCCATTTATCCATTACACACACAAACACTTAGCCTGTGCAAAGCTGGCTTAAATTTTCAGAACTGATTCTGTGTGTTTGGATCCAGGCCCAAATCTTTTGATTCCCTGTAATGAGCACAAATTCAGCTTCATAGTCACTACTAGTAAGAGGAAATAAATATAGCAATATGTAGATTTAGATATTTGTGTATGCATGCAAACACACAAACATAAAGGTATACAGTTTGGCACAAAAATATTTTGCAGAATTAAAAGAACAGATCTGTATTTCTGATACTTGTTTTAGAATTTTTAGTGACTTAAATGAATTCCAAGCCTTTATTTGGCATGTTACAATTACTTAATGTGAACATCATGTAAGTCAAGTTCTTTACCAGAACATTTGAATAGTTGTAGTAATTGTACTGTGACTCTGCAATAAGATGATGTGAAAAAACTAGTTATAAGAAATTTGTCTTAGAGATGTGTACCAAATTGCCAATGGGGGAAAAAAACCTTAAAATTCATGTTCCTTTTCACAGCATGGTCTGGAGTGGATGGAAGGATTAATCCCTCTGAACCAGGTTCTACTTCATTTACATCCTTAGGGCTAAATCCTACAGTTTCAGGTAATATTTTAAAATCACTCAACAAATGAACTGCCTAGTTGGTTTATATTATTCATTCTTAAGTATCTGATCATCTTTGCTGACTAAGAATTGTTGCACCTAAGTCTGGAAAAAACAGTGCATAGTCCAAAAAAAGCCTAAGTCACAAAAATGTAACAGTTATAATAATAACTATATAATATTTTGTCACTTGAAATTTCAGAAGGAAGATGGTTTAACTTGTTTTGTAAATATGGTTTCTGTTTAGGCTTGGTCTGTGAAGATTGATCAGCCCTATCAGTGACAATAAAAGAAGCAAATTATTCTTAGTTTAGGGTCTTCAGTATAGTATAACAGATCTGGGACCTGCCTTTGACTGCTACTTCGAAGGGAGATTTTTAGTGGTGGCTCCTCAGTTATTGAATTAATTCCCTACAGAAGCCTACCTGGTAACAACCTTACTCTCTCTCTGGTATCAGGTTAAGACTGTCCTCTACATCAGGACATTTAATTAGTTCACTGGGGCTTTGTTACTTACTTAATCAGGACCCAAGAATTACCTTGTTTAAGTTGTTGAAAATTTTATATTGTTTTAAAGTTAGTATGGGAACCTTTTTGTGATGTTTAATGATATGGCATATTTTATTCTGTATTTTTAATGTGTTATGATATAAACCACTCAGAGAACGTCAGCCATTGCGGTATGAAGAAAGACCAATTGATGATTTATAGGAGCACTGTCAGTGGTTTACTCTCATAAAATTAACATTGTGTGTTTGTTCCCTGTTCTTTTCAGGATCCAGCAGTGAGACTGTTTCTCAGCCTCCTACTACAGACTTTCAGTGGGATTTAAACCGTAATCAGGCACATGTTGATGATGAATGGTCTGGATTAAGTATGTTCCTTTTTAAACATTGCTGTGGCCTTGCTTGACTTGCAGCTTAAAGACTTGCATTTGTCTTCATATTCCCAGCCCTCAGTTGTCCCTTCTGCAAATGGGATTAAACAATGTTTGCTTACATAAGTACTTTAAAATTAATATTTATTGTGGCATAAGTGATTGTGTGCCACTGTCTTTTTATTAACCAAGGCCAAAGCTCAAGCAATTCTAAGCTATGAAACTTTACGCCAATGTAAGTTAATATTTAAAACTCTTTATCCTTGGTAGCTATAGAGTGTGAATCTGACACTATTGTCCAATGGCAAAGGATTAACCCTAGAATCAATCATCTTGCTTACTATAAGAACCATGGGACTACTGGTAGTGACTGAAGAACTAGCTTAGCTAGCACAACAGCCTTTTAAAGTTGCTGCTGCTACTTTATTGTTTTGTAGTAGCAGTTTGACTCAGTTATTCTCTAATAAGCCAAAGGAATAATGAATTGTTCATATTTTATAGAATTTAATCTAGCATTTCTTAAAGACTGTGCGGTTGGGTCTAGAATTGCCATTCCATTTGCAGAAGGGATTGAAATTCAGTAGGGGTTCACATTGGGGTGTGGGAGAAGGTGGAAATTTTTGCTGATTCACCCATAGCACCAACTTTCTTGCTGTTTTGGTGATCGGTCACCCAACTCTTTCGACCAGCATTTGAGCAATGGGAGCAAAAAGTCAAAGGCCAGGCTTTGGGGACAACAGGCCAAGAAGGAGGGCAGGGAGCATGGGGCAGGCAGTCAGCAACCTGTCTGCTAGCAACTCAGCCAATGCTAGATGGACAGGATAGCGAAAAATGGTGACCGAACCAGCCATGGCCACTCTTGCTGCTGTGAACTCACTGTCCAAAATGGGAAACCATGGAAAAACATGGTGACTAGTTTCCTGCCTATGGTTGGTTCTCCATGGTGATTCACAGAAACCAAGCATGCCACTTTTCACTGTTCTTTTGGTATTCACACATAAGGACAAGCCTTTCCTGCCATGGCTTGTCATTACGTATGAATACAGCCAACATCTAGCATCTATAGGATTGCTTTCAGTTTGTTTCTGTAATATTGAATATGATATTTAAACCAATCATCCAAGCAAATGATGGTTTTTTTGAACATACTGAACAAATATTTTAGCTGCATGATCACTTTTAATTGGGAGGAACAGGTCAAATGTCTGCTCTCAGTTTTTTGTTGTAATAAAAGGATATTGAAGAAAAGCAACCTGAGAATTAATATTTAGCGCAAGTCAGGATTTCTTTGCTCCTACTTTATTTGTTCAGTTAAGCCACTTGTTTCTTAATCTTTACAGATGGGCTTTCTTCTGCTGATCCTAGTTCAGATTGGAATGCACCAGCAGAGGAATGGGGAAACTGGGTAGAAGAAGAAAAGGCTCCGTCTGTTCCACAGCTTGAAGAAACATCATCTGAGACTCAAAAGGTATTGGCCTTACAGCGGCTAGAAAACACACTGACTTTAGTCACTCCAAAATGCTGTTTCTAACTTTACCTTAAAGGAAACTTGAAGAAAAGATGGGTCATTTCATATACAATGACTTCTTTATTCCCTTTCAAATGATTTTCGCTTCTGCCAAGACAAATGAATGTAAATCTGGCCATTTAATATGTACAGTGCCCTGCAGAAGTAGTCATCCCCATTTCATTTTTTCCACAATCTGTTGTGTTACAACCATCAATTGAAATGGTTTTAATTGGCATAGTTAGCACTTAATTTACACAAGATACTCAGTACATTGAAGGTGCAAAATATTGTCACTGTATCACAAAAGTAAATAAAACCAGGCATTTGCTGGTTTTATAAGTAGTAACCCCCTTTGCTGTGACATGTCTAAATTTGTGCCAGTGCAACCTACTGCCTCCAGAATATTGTAAGTAGTTGAATGGAGTCCACCTGTGTGCAATTTCAGTGCTGCATGATCTCAGATTAAATACACTTGTTAAAGGCCCGTAGTTTGTAGGGAAGAATAAACAGCATCATGAAGACCAAGATGCTGTCCATGAACTATTATAAAGTTGTGAGAAACACCAAAGTTGGGTTATAAAAAAAAAATCCCAAACTATGAACACCCCCTGAAGTACCATTAAATCCAAAAAAGGCATGTGGGAGGCATAGCAAACATGTGGGAAAAAATTATATGGTAGGATGAGACTAAAACTAAACATTTTGGCCTTGCTGCAAAAGTGTATGTGACACAAAGCCAACAAGGTTCATTGCCATGAGAACATGGCCTCAAAGTGTTGTAGCAGCTGGAGCAGCATGTTGTGAAGATGCTTTTCCTTAGCTGAATACAGGGTGACTCTAGAGGAAAACCTGCTTCATTTTGCAAGAGACAAGACTGGGGTGGGACACATAGCCAGGGTGACACTGGAGTCATATAGAAACAAGAACCTTAATGTTTTAGAATGGTTCAGTTAAAGCCCAGAGTTTAGTCTAAGAATCTGTGGCAAGACATGAAAGCTGCTAATCGCCAATGGTCCACATCCAACTTGATGGCTTTGGCACTGTTATTTTCAGGAATAATGGGCAAATATTGCAAGATCCAGATGTGCAAAGCTGATACAGGCTTATCCATGAAGACTCACAGACTCAGGGAGCTGAATACTTACCCTGCCACTCAACCGACACAACCATCAAGCGTCTGTTTTTGTTAACTTTTGTGCTATAGTAAAAATATTTTGCACCTTCACAGAGTTAAGTATCCTGTGTACATCAAGTAGAAAAATGCCAATTAAATTCATTTCAATTCCAGATTGTAACACAACAAAATGTGAAAAAGTCGGGGGATTAATATTTCAGTAAGGCATTGTATGCTACTTTTAGTATTAATTGCAAATGAAATAAATTTGAAAAATGAAATTATGTAATTATGATTGGTATAGAAGAGTGATATTCTGATGGAAAGATTGAATCTTTCTGATTTTTGCATTAGGCTTCAGATGATGAGAAGGAAAAAGCAGAACCAGCTCTGCAAAGTGCTACAAGCAGTAAATCAAAGAAGAAAAAGAAGAAAAAGAAAAAGCAAGAAGAGGCTAGCTCTCCTGTACAGGTAGGACAATAAGTACTCACTTATAAGCAGCAGTTTGATGTGAATATCTATTAAACTTTGCCTGGTATTTTGCAGACTCATACTGTTCGATCGCTTGTACTCATGCTAGCATGTAGTCCATGCTTTTAATAAATATATAATGTCTCTGTGTGAAGTTCCTTCACATGTTATCTAGTCCAGGTAATAATGTACTGACTCTTCCTGGGATCAGAGTATCTTGTATATCCATGGGGTCTTAACATTTGAGTTTACACTGGGTTGGATCAGGCTGGTTATGCTTAAGCTAGACTTTCTGAAGTCAGAGAGGCAATTTAGTCATGACTAACTGGAGTCTCATTGAATTAGGTCCACTGTACACGCAATAGAATCTGCATCCAACCATATAATGCAGACGTTTTCCTTAACTATTTGTTAGCCAGTGTGTGCAACTTACTTGTCTCATGTTTTAGTTGCTATATCATCTAAGAAGTGAGTAGGAAAGGACTGCTAGAAGAGCATGAAGGTGAAATCTTTCCCTGTATGATGCTATGATGAAATGTATTAATGTTGCAAATGAGTAGAGAATGGTATCATGCACAGGTGATTTTAGGAAAGTGATGTCCTTGTTATAAGACTATTCCGCATTGACTTAAATTTGCAGTAGAACAGCAAAACTTAAAAGAGTGGTTCATAATTTAGTTTCTTCTGTTCATTTTTCTTGATTAGGATGCTGATGACCTGGATAGACATACTGGAGAAGAATTTCCAGAAGATACCTCAAAAGTTCAACAGGAAGAGATAGCTTTCTCTTTAAAGACCATCAGCACTAGTGAACAAGCTGAGGTATAAATAATGAAGGTTTATCTGAACACTAGGCATCCATTCAGTATTTATGAAATCCAAATACCATAAGACATTTGGGAATCAGAAGAAGAGTTTAATTTAATTTTATAAATATTAAATTCCTTTTTTCTGGGCCCATCATCACACTAGCTCCTCACAGATCAGTCTCTTCAGCCCAGACCAAAGTATGGCACAGACACAGAACAGTTACACTGCAGAAAGATACCTGCAAGCAAATAGGTGTATAGAATTCAAGCAGTTGATCAAATTCTTATTCCACAGTTTGCAGATGATGCTCCACCTGTGTTATCATTTTGATAACACCATTTTACCATTTTGAAATTTTTTTCATGGCCTGAGAAAATGATGGAGAATAAGAAGGCACCTTGAACATTTATAATGAAGTATATCTTCATGGAATAATGAATTATTTTTTGTTTGGGATGACTTACAAACTTGTCAATATAAAATGGACACAACAGCCATTGATGCTGTAAAGTATATTATTTGCAATGTCTAGAGTTCAGTGCCACTCATCTTAAGAACTTAGTTTAGAAATGGCTACCTCATCTATACTTCTCCTTGCTACTAGACTTCTTTTCAGTTCAGTCTGAAGTTTGACACATTAACTTCAGTTTAATTTACCCATGTGCTTTCATCAGCAAGAGTCTACTTTTAAAGACTTGTTTAAAGAAAACCCATGTGTCTAAAACTATTTTAGGCTTCATCTTAAAAGTCACAATAGTGTCTGAATGTCAGGTTGGTTGTCCAGCACCTAAGTATATTGTCCTGTCCTTTCATATCACTACAGATTAAAACATCTGTCAGAATACATTCCCCAGTCCTCTGTAATCTCTCCCTACCCAGTCTTTTCCATAGATTTGCCTAAGCAGAATTTTGCTTGCTCTGACTGTACTGGATAGGACTCACAAGTATTTTTTTGCCCAAAATCCCAGGAAACTTTCACCAGTTATAAAATACAGTTCTAACTTAATGTATGTAGTTGCCTAGTATTATGCTATTCTAGTTTGATGCATTTGGAACTAATACTGTTTTTAGTCAAACTTGTTTGTTGCAATAAATGGATATAGGTTTCTCAGTGCCCTGTTTTCTAACTCTGTTGCAAATTGAAACATTGAAATACAAAGTCAAATCTGTCCTGTTAAACAAGCTTACCAAAAGTGTTGCCAAATAGTCAGCATTTTGATCTATGATTTTTATTTTAGCATGAGGAGATGCCCTCATTTACTGTTTCTACTGAGCCATCTGTAACTGTATCAGAGAGTGAATCTGACAAGATACCTTCCCAAGTGCCACAGATGCTACAGGAGACAGAAGCTCCCATTTCTAATGTTAAGCAAAACAGTGTGCCTCTGCCACAGAGTAAGTCATTCTGCGTACTGAGTACCAGCAAAAACCTATTGGGAAACATTCTGTTTCTGTATAGCAAAAATGTGACTATTATGTAACAGTCAACTAATGTTATTGCTGAACTATGCTCAACTGTAAGAGTTATGATTTTGATTGTTTATCATTAAAATGTCTTATTTATATTTGATGAGGTACCCCAAATTGACCATGTTCTAGGTTCTAGATGTAGAGGCTGTTAGCATAGTTCTCACAAGCTACTGGAATAGCTACTCACCAATCTCATGCATATATTTATAAGAGTAACTGTAAAATGAAATGTACAGATGAATTATAATCTATAATATTCTTTATTTTTATTAAACTCTTAGCCAAGTCTGAAGAGAGCTGGGAGTCGCCTAAACAAATCAAAAAGAAGAAAAAAGCCAGAAGGGAAACGTGAATTTTCTGAGATGGACATGTGTTGCAGAAAAACTTGTCATGAAGATTATGCTGTTTATGCAATAATTTGTGAACCTGTACAGAATTTTATATAAATTTCAACAGATTTTTTTAAAAAAACAAACTGCTTTGAACAGAACCATCTTTAAGAACAGGAACTGAAGGAAAATAAGTTGGTGAAACAGTTTAGCAGGAAATAAGACAATACTGGAAGACACATTGAAGAGTCTGTATTTGAACCTGTGGGGAAAGTAATTTTTAAAAACTTGGCTTTACAACAGTGCCCTGTTTACAACATATCTCTATTTCATGTCCATTGGAGAAGGAGGATTTGTCTTTCCCTAATCATCTTTAATAATAGTGTGTCTTTCTTGAGTGGTGTCCATTCTGAATTTGTTTAAAACCTAAATCAAAGAACTCTGGTTAAATAATCTGCCATATCCTTCTAATATTTCATAGAATGTGTTAACCATAAAGTTAATTATAAGTGCAGAGAGGCTGAAATCCTGGAAGCATTTACTCTTGAATAATCCCCAAACTGGAATGGTAGCCTCTTTTCTGAGTAAGCGTGCATGCAGATTGTGACTAGAACCATTTAGCAAAATTTCTTTGACAAAGAAACAAATGCAGTTTAGAGTGCAACACTTGCAGGAACTGTTACTGATTAAGAAATCTGGTCAGTACTTCATAAAATTGCTTCTAGTTGTCTACTTGAATTACTCAAATAATATATTTTTAAGAATATGGGACACTATGCTCAGAATCAGCCTTATGTTTTATTCCTTTTTAAAGTAGTAGGTTATTTGTTGCTCTTTATTCCCAATTGTGCTTCATTTTTCTACCCTTTTTTTGTTTTGATTAATTGTCTTTTTTTAAAAAAGCCCCATAAACTGTTCAAAGGTGTGGTGGGGAATGAAAGGGGAAAATAATGGCTTCAGACAGCTTTAATTGATTTTGAAACCACCTGTATCAGGAAGTGCTTTTTTACTGCCTTAACCTATGTAGAATCTGCATCTAGAGTTCTTAAATGGAATTAGTGGGGGGTGTTTTTGTTTTCTGGTATTTTTAAAAAATCATGCAAGTATACTAATGTAAAACCAACTTTCCTCATGAAATTATTGATTAAAATGGGAGTTAAGCTGCATCATTTTCAGGCACTGTGTAATTGCATTGCATTCAAGCAGACAGGTATCTATCTATGATTAATACATGGTTGCCATGTATAGTGTATATAGCCTTTCAAAATGTTTGTGCGTGTTTAAAGGACCATTAACATAACACATGGAACATCTATTAAAGAAAAGCCATGACTATTTGATGTGATTGGCTTAAGGTTTTATTTTAATGTGGCAGAGAAATTGTAACAGCTGTAACCAATGGTACTTATTGACTCTCCCATAATGTCTCATCGTATGCATCTGAAATTTTTGGTAAAATTAACTTGCAATGCAAGAACAATTAAAGAAGCAAACTGGATTTAGTTGTATTGAAGGCAAGCCTTATTAATTGATAGTGTTCCTAATGAATACTAATATGCACAGGTATTAACTCCTGATTCAGGAACGTGTTCAGATGTTTTGTTTAATTCAGTGACATTTCTAAATTTTGTTAAAATAAATTGAGCAAATTGATAGCATTGTGTTATTTATGGGAAGGGAATTGTGCTTAGGCAGTGTTTTTTTATCAGGGATTGGGGTGTCCATGAAAATATTCTAGCATTGAAATAGTTTCCAGCAGTGATCATGTGAAGTCGTGTGTGTTTTTTGCTGTAAAACTCTTCATTTATCGTATCTGTCTTAAGTGTAACAAGGCTTTATCCATATCTAATATTACAGCTTCTTTCTACACTTGATCAAATATAATCTTCAAAAGGTAGGAACATAGTAAGCATGGTTCTGAACAGTCAAGAAACTGGGAGGTGAACAATTCTTTTGTTTCTATTGGTAAGGATAATTAAATGTTCACGTATTTATTACCTATGGCCATTAAGCCAAATTTCTTAATTCCCACAAGTGCTCTGTCATATTAGTCCTCTAAGGAGATTTGTAAGGTGGAAAAGGTTTTTATTCATATCTGCTTGAAAATATGTCAAGCATTTTCATGTTTTTTGACAAACCGCTTGTGGAAGCAACTTTGTAAATCATATTATGGTACTGCATAACATTAAGATGATAATGTTGGCCAAATTAAGTCACTCAGTGTAAGCCCTGATCTGCTGTAAATCAGATGGTGATTTTTTTCATGGTGTCTTTGTAGTCCTATGTCCCTTGTTTAGGAGTGCATGCTCAACCAGACTTGAGCAGTTGCTCTAAAAATTGTCTGGAAAATGCTTAGGAGTATTTATAAAGTCTCAATGTTTAAGTGCTGCTCTTAAAATCTGTCCAGTGTTTTTAGAAACTGTAGCAAATGTGGAGTGAACCATTTCCTAAAAGTGTTTTCAGCATTTCCTTTGCTCAGTTTACTACACAGCTGAGCCCTATGCAGTGGTAGGTGTGCCTGCATCCATTGGAAAAAATGGCCATAAGTGCACTGTAACTCTGCATAGACTTGAACCCGAAAATGTCCAAGGCACTTCAGGCCTAAAACGCCACACTTCTAGATCGTACCCTTTAGCTTTATTGATGCTTTATTGATGGTGGGTTTCCTCATATTCAAACTTTATTGATGGTGGGTTTCCTCATACTCAAACAAGTTTAGACATTCTACTCTTAAAACCACATGTTTTCTTTCCATCTTTGGTATTGTACATTTGCTGTAGGCAGAGCTAAATGTACATCACACTGGGGAGAATAACACTAAATAATTGCTAGTCTTTGAAGTTTCTGATAAGGAAATAGACCTGTTTATGAACCTTTCAAAAAGTATATGATCTGAGTCCAGAAAATCTAGAATTACCATTTAAGTGAGGGAAAGGCAGGCAAGTCAACACAATTGCTTTATGAATGTGACTTAACAGTCTTCTGTTTAGAATGTATATTGAGTGGAAATGTTCTAAATTAAACAACTGGCAATGAGGAGTGTCCCAAAATAAAGTTTATATTAGTGTAGATTTCTAACCAAGAATGAAATTAACAATATTTGCATTTATTGGTTGATGAGAGCCCTTATGGCCAACTACATTCAGGTATCCATTTATGGCACAGACAAAGCAAACCAGCTAAACATTATAGTGAATGCATGGAATGTTTTCCAAAGAGTAATGTGGGTTTTGTAACTTTTGAAAATGTTTGTATGCGCAACTTTACAAAATTTGTGATATGTAATTGGGTAGTCATTGCATGCTTTAATCTTCCCTAACTTTATTTTGGGGCTTTCTTAGGGAAAGTGTATAGACTTCATACATGTTTGTTACAGAGTTGGCTGAAGGTGGATAAAAACTGTTTCTGATTTTTTTTTTAATTTAAAAGAATTACAGTAGTTAGACATTATTTAACTATTTACTAAAGAATGTATACATTAAAATAAGTTTTCAAAACTGTTTACAGAAATACCTTTTTAGTGTTACTTGTTGCCCTTTTATTATTTATTCTTTTGCTAACACCTTTTCCCCTCTGCTTTTTCCACTCTGTATTGCTTAGGAAAATGATCTTCAACTTCTTCAAACTATGGGACAGGCCTGGCACCCTAGTGCAGATTCTGATACTCCAGTACCAGTGGGTTCATCTGATAGCAGTTGAGAAGTGCCATTTTAATTTCTCACACTGTTCCTGGCATAGCATCTGTCCAGGGCATTCTGGGAAATAAAAAAATGGGATTCCCCAGTTTAGTGGCATTTAATGCAAGCCCCGCAACCCTGGAGCTGACTCCATGCAACTTGTGGCCCGTTTTAATTTCTGTATGATTGCCTTTATTCTTTATTTATACCAAGGGCTATATCCAACAACAACATTCCTCTAACACAGGTTATGGTGCACTACCATAAGAAACTTCTAGCACAGTGACAATAGCATTAGCTTGCACAATGGGAGTTCTACAGAATCCTGCCACACAAGCTAATACTATTGGTGCTGCACTAAAGGTAGTTCATGTAGCTGTGAAGTAATATGTTATCAGTATGACCTTGTTGGAAACTGCTCAAAATATTTAAAAATAATGAATAGTAGTTGTTACTGAGTCAGGTAATCCGATGTTGGATCTGAATCAAGCTTTGCAGGGAACTTTATAAATATTCAAATTGTAACTAATCAATTTGCCAATTCCTGTAATTAACTGTTTTCAAACTTCTCCCCTCCTGTGCCCACTTTATGTTCAATTTCTGTTTGTGCATATCAATATTGCCATGGAAAAACCTCTGATCAGATCCATAGGAAAAATGCAAATCTCCAGGTGCCAATCTCAGTTTCTTAGAAATCAGTATTTCACAGATAGCAGCCTTTTCCACAATTGAGGAAAACCTTTCAAATCCTTAAATTCCTACATAGAATTTTTCTAGGGGCTTCGAAAGGTTTTCTTCATTGTAACAAATTTCTCGAGGAGTGTGAATTTCACTTAAGGAAAATGTTGGTTAACAGTTATCCTTTGAACATAACTTTTGAACTTAACAGTGGTCCTTTAAACTTTCTCATGAAACCTATTAGGTAACTGAATACAGGAGTAAATAACATGATCTCCATTTACATTCAAATTAAGGTTTTGTGTGTGTGTTCCCAAGGTTACCTGTGGTGTGTTCTTTTCATTTAAAAGTTTCAATTACAGAAATTGAACAAGACATACAATGCAATATATGTTTGCATCACAGATAATGTATCCATACAATAATTTGTCACTGTATAAGGGTGCAATTTCATTGCCTGCAAATGTCTGGTGGGGGCAGGGGTGGATTATAGGTTGTAGTCCCAGCTCTGACCTTGGAAATCCCTTCAGAGACTGGAGCTGGGACTCTTGACTTTAGAGGGCCTGCCTTTGCAGCTAGTGCAGTTTTCTCCAGCTGGCTGGCCTCTGAAGACAGAAGGTTGTCTTTGGAAGTAGCATGTGTAGAGAGCAGTATGATGCTGCCATCTTCCAAGGAATCTTGACAGTGCCTCGGCCTCTCTTCCCAGCCTTCATTGCTGAAATTGGCATTTCAATGTTTTGGGGAAAGAAAGGCATGCAGGAGCAGTCTCAGCTTCTCCTGTCCTCCATTGGATGTCTGCAACCTTCTTGCATTGAGGGTGTTAATGGCAACCACAGTGGATGGCATAACAAATCAATATATAAATGAATGGACAGTAATTTTTGCACTTACAGAAATAATCCTCACCAAAACAAATGTTAGGTGAGGATAATAAACACCTCAGAGACAGTGTCATATGCATGCATTTATATTTTTACAGTAGAGTCAGCCTTCCACGTTCACAGGGATTAGGAGTGCAGGACCCTTGGGAAAGTGGAAAAACCACGAATATCTCTAGGGTCCCCAGATGTTGACTCTTAATAAGCTTGACCATATGTGTATTGGATTGCTTCTCTCTCTCATTCTGTGTGTGTGTGTGTGTGTGTGTGTGTGTGTGCCTACATTGTTGATATACGTACCAGTTAATTGCAAAATATTTTAATTTAAAAATATACCATTCACCTTATACCTATGTGAAGATAGGGTTAGGATCAGACACATGGTTACAGTTGGTATTTTATTGCACTTTAAAAATGCACACAGTTGCAAGAAACAGGAGATACACTGCACATTGAGAGACAAAACACATGAGTGAGGCTGGGTAGTACCAAGACAAAGAGTGGTGTCCCCAGACAGAGTGTGTCGTCCAAACAGTTCTTTAGCACACTGAAACTATTCACAAAATTAAACTTTTTATAATAAATTTGTGTATATATTTATGGTAGTAAATGATAAAATAGATTAATACTACATTTTATGCGTTTATAACTTAATATTTTAGTTTTCTTTACATTTTCTAGTCTACACGTGTCGAATTTTCTACAGTAGGCCGCAAAACTTTAAAAAAATCCCATTTAATTATTGATGTCAAATTTGCAAATAAGTCTGTAAAAGTTGAATCCCCAAAAGTCAAGGTTCAATTGTATTTGATTTCCACCAGTAAAGGATTGCCATCCTTTTACAAACTTGTCCTTTTGCCGTCTCCCTTCTCTTAGTAGTTTTCAATAGATAAATAAGACAACTACTTTAACCATTTGTTCTATGTAAGTCTTTTTGTTTTCCAGTTTTTTCAATCACCAACTTTGTTGCTAATTAATAAATTGGATATTATCAATTTATAATTTTGAGAATGGAAAAGCTCTTACAAGATTGTTTTTGGATCAAAGGTTAAATCATACCCAGTGATTTTCTCTTCACTTGTCTCCAGAATATTTGTATTTGTGGACATTACCACGTTTGCATGTGGTCAGCTGACTGAAACAGGCACTTCCAGCATTCTATTACAATATATTCTTGATAGTGATCGATATGAAAAATGTAATGAGTTTGCCTTTCTTCCTGTAAGAACTCCATTCTAGTCTGCTTCATTAGGGTGCAATCTATGCAAGTTTAAGCAAAACAAATGCCTGCAACTATTGGCAGGCTTCAGCAAGCTAGGAGCTGTAGTCATTTTTCCTGTTTAATTGTGCATAGAATTGTATCTTAAGTGTTCCTTTCATTCTCCATCAGCTCAGACAACTAAATCACTAAAACACGTTAAGCCCAGTGCACAAAGTTCCTGCTTACAGTTGCAAAGTAGCAATGCTGGCAGTGGTGAAGCTGAGTGGCCAAGCCCTGGAGCCTGGGGAGAATTGTCGCCAGTTCAAAACTCAACTACCCATTTCTCTTGGTTTCGATCTCCTGTCTGCAAAAGTATGTCCTCCTTTGCAAGGCTGTTGTATAGATTTCTCAGTGAATGTTTCTGACATCTGTGAAATGTGCTATAACTTATCAATTTAACTTATTTTAAATGGGCAGTAGCTCCACAATGTCTGCATCATTTTGAAGCCACCATGAGAAGGATCCTTATGATGGCAGCTTCACAACCATTCAGAAAACATGTCTACTGTTCATTTGGTTCCAGCGTGAATCTAACAGAAAGAATAATTGTAATCCTGAGCAGTGTCACAAAGACAGCAAAAGAAAAAGGCTATCTTTGGTGTAGGACGAGGTTGTGTTCAGCTTGTGGGTCTATGAGATGGTTTGTGTGATATGAGAATCCATCGTGGATTATTAGCAGGGTTATCATGTCCAAATCCAGAACACTTCCCACAAGGTGGTCTATTCATTTCTTTCCTTTTTTCTAGGGATTGTTGATCCATAATGGATTGTCATGTCCAAAAATGGGGTAGCAATTTTATCACAGGCTGTGGTGATTTGCTAGTGAACTTCTAAACAAAAGTACCAACAAACAAAGCCCGCTGCGCTTTGCAACTTCACCCTCGCCACCATCTCCACTGATACAAGTGGCACTTTGGAATGATAGTCACTGGTTTAACCTCCTGGGGTGTGGGGTTCAGTCTCAGAAAATGGTACAAATGTGCTCAGCACTTTTTAATTACTATTTTTGTCTGTCTGGTGCAATTTCAGAAATGTAGAGCATGTTCATTCAGAAACAGAACAAATTTATTTCAGGCTGTAAAAGGTCATATGGATGGAATTGTGAGAAGGGGACCAATCTTAAAAATTTATGCCAGACTTTTACACGCTACCCCAAAATCTGATTGAGCTCCAACAAATTGTGAGGGCTAGCTAAGTCCACAGTTGTGTGTGCCAGCGTTCCCTACTCTAGAGCCATCCAAATGGACTACAATTCCCATCTTGGTTAAGATAGTTGGAGTTGTAGTCCAAGACACCAGATTGAGAAAGGCTGCCATGCACAAGACCAACCCTGCTTGTACTTAGTTGGGTTTGCTTTCAGTAGACGTATAGGATTCCGCTGTAACTCTTCAGGTGAAAGAGACTACATTAAGTCTAGACCATGTTTTTTCTGTATGCTATTAAATGGACTTTGTAATGTTGCCAAACATAATGCTATTTCAGTAGAATTAAAACAGGATTTATAATGGGGTGTGCAGTAAATCTTAAAATAAGAGATGAAAACTTAAATGTTTTTATTTCAGCCATCAATCTTCCAGTATGAAAGGGTCCTTGAATGGAGTCTAAGAGGAGAATCATTGAACAGCAGAGGAAAGCCAAGAGCATCTTCTTTCTATAAATGGAGAGACAGCATTAGTGGGTCTAATCAATCTCTTAAAGAGAAAAATGAATCTATGAAACTCTCCAATAATTAAAGACTTCAATCTTCTTTTACTTAGAACAGGAAGCTCTACTATCTGTCCTTGACCTTGTGTTAATGTCTAAGCTTCTTGATGCAGCTGAGAGGATATAAAAGACTCAGGTATTTCACTAAAAGAAGCATCAGAAATAAATGCATTCCATCCAATCAATGTTGGGCAACTGAGTTCTCTCACTCTCCCCTGCACCCCAATCTTTCTGGCAGGAACCCCTTCACAGGTTCATCTCCAGAGACCCACTGTGGAGCACAGCTGATGCAGGGAGAAGGGAGAATCAAATTTAATTGTAAATGCTGCACCGTCAGTGGATGGATGCAACAGATCATTGCCCAGTGTTTTTATATTGGAACCCTTAAGTGAGTAAGTTGAGATCAGAAAAAAAAATAGGATGGTCTCAGGACTAAACTTAGTTCATTATTAAGGCTCTGATCCTCTACATGCTTATTTAGGGATAAGCTTTATAAGACTCCTTGAAATTTATTCCCAAGTATAATTTTATTTCTACACCATCCAACAGCAAAACTATTCTGGGTGCTTCACAATTAATAAAAATAAGATATATGAAATTGAAAGCAGAGTTGAAAACAATTTGAGCAACTAAAACATTTTTTCAGTATTGACTAGGCCACCATAAAGCTGCATCCTCATCCCTACAACTGCTATTGAATGCCTCGGAGAAAAGGTCAATCTTTATCTGGTGTTAAAAAAAATAGAGTTATCAGGAAGGAATCATGCCATAATCAGAAGCCACCTCCCCTTATTTTCTTTCTCCAAGGTGGTATTTGGAGGACAGCTTCAGATGTCCAGCAGTGTCCAGGTAGATCCTAGGTGGGAGAGGTGCTCCATCAAGTACGGCAGTCCCTAGCAATGTAAGAACTGGGCTAAATAGAGGTCCTCTGTTAAGCCTACTTTGGCTCTTGTATGTTCTACCCAACTATCCCATGACCCGTAGACAACATCTGAGGGGCCCTAATACAGTTCAGATTCCCAGATCTCAAAGTTCAGTTCAAATCCAAGTCCCTTGCCCTCCCCACTGCAGCTGACTGGAAAAGAACTAATCTGAGATCAATAAAGTATACCAACAGTACTGTCCCCTACAAGAGTTTTCTACGACCTGGTATATTTCAGATCTTTCAGACTTGGCCAATGGTGAGTGGGAGTCCCAAGCTGGGAAAAACTGCAATTTAGGAATACGGATTGAATTTTCTTGCATTCTTCCTGATTTGTATAAAGCATTCTACAGCCAACATTTCATAAATGTGTTCCTCATGTCACTCCTGTGGAACAATCCTGTGGATGTTTAATACACATTGCTCTCCTCCACTCCCTCTCATATAAAGGGACCTTTGTTAATGGCCCTTCAACGTGTATTAATTTTGCATCTACTTTTAAACAAGTGCATTCCAAGTCACCACAAGGGCATCTGTATGGAAACATCTGCCAGGCAGACATCACAACCCTCCCCTGGTGCCACATTCAGTTCCACTTCCCAGCACTTGCTGGGAAACTGATTGGGCTTGACTGAAACACTAACACTCAAACTGGGGCCATGATCCACACAAACGAAACACCAAGTATTGCTTGCAGACTTATCCTGTAGTGGGGTGACAATTTTACAGAGAATTGTCCTTTTTTCTATATTCGGAGCGCTGAAAGTCCAAGTCTGCTTTAAAGAACCATCCATAGAAGAGCTGGGCCTTGAAGTTACCCATTAACAGTTGCACGACGGCAGTGTAGTGAGCGAGCAGGTAGATCCCCTACCTGCTTTCCAGCTTCATCACCATGGTGAGATGTGCTGTTTCTCTCCCCCTCTCTCTCGATAAATTAGCATATACGTGTATTATGGAAATTACAATCCTCCTTTTTTGGAGATTCATTAATGGCCACACAATAGACGTATTTACTCCCTTGCAGCCAACATAATATACGCCAGATTTCTCGTGAATGAAGCTTCTCGATGAATATTGGCAAGAGCTGCGGTGATTAACTCGGATGGTCACAGGGCGGGGCGTGCAACCAATGTCAGCCCTACTCAGAACAGACCCATCGAAACGAAGGGGGCTTCAGTGGGAGTAACGCCGGATGCATCGCACAATCTTTCTTCCGCCATAACGAGCATAAGAAACGCATCTTCGAGGTCGGGCCGGTCCTCCGACGCCGCGGCTCTCTCCATCCTCCGGCGGCCGGGCGGGCGGGGCGCGCACCTGGCCGCCGCGGCTCATTCATTCCCCCGCCGGGCCTCCCCCGGACGCGCGCGCCCCCCGCGGCTCCTCCGGGGCGCCAAGGCTCCGCCCACGCCCGGCCGGCCGGGGCCGGATTACGTCATGGAGCGGAGGCTTCCCTCCCCCCGCTGCCCCGGAGGCGCGAGCGCGCTGCCTCCCGGCCTCCCCCTCCCCCTGGCGGCGCTGAGCGTCGCGGCAGGATTCGCGCTCCACCTGCTGTCCAGGGCGGCGCGGCGTCTCCGCTCTGCAGCGCTCCCGGGGAACCAGCCGCAGCGGCAGAGCAGCGCTCCACGCACCGCCGAGGGAGCCCGGGAGAACGCGATGAAGATGATGAGCTCCCCTTGGGCTCGCTTCTACTCCAACAGCTGCTGCTTGTGCTGCCATGTCCGCACCGGCACCATCATCCTGGGCATCTGGTACTTGGTAAGTGGCGCGGGGCTCATTCTACCGTGCGGGAGGCGGGAGGGTCCCGGGTGCAGGGCCCGCGATGGAGGGCGAAGCGGGCCGGGAGGAGCAGCTCGGCGCCAGCCTGCCGCTGGGCGGCTCCTTTTCTCCTGCCTCCTTTCCCGAGGAGGTCCGGGTCCGTGCGATACCGGCCCCGGGTAGCACACTCGTGCGCTGGTGGGCCCTCTCCTCTCGCTCCTGCTGGAGTGGCTCCCCCTCCGCCCCAACAAAGAGCCGGTCGCGGCAGCGGCTTTCTCCCTCTCTGCCTCTCCAGGCGCCCCTCGGGGACAACGACTTTGATTTCACCGATTATTATGGGGTGGCACCCGTTCGCCCCCCCCCCCCCACGCGGAGCGTCGCAAGTTAGTCGTGGCTGCTTCATTTATTGCCTTTATGTCCCCATTCCTTGCATCGTTGAGCCTGAAGAGGCTAGAGGCATCCTAGGTGGTCCCCCCTCCAAGCAGCGGGCAGACTCAGATCTGTTTAGCTTCCATCCCATGGCTGTTCCACGTGCCATCAGACCACTCTCTGGGACAGTTGTGGCTTTCGTTCATTTCAGTCGGTTTATGCTGCATAGGATTTAATGCCAGATTCATTGTGTGTTTTCACTGCCTGGGAAGGGGGGAAATGCTTGCTGGATTTTCACATATTCATTTCTGCTTGCATGAATTGCAGCAAACCGTTTGGCGAGCCTTGGGCGGTGTGTCCTTGAGGGAGGGACCACCCGCAGCTGCTGCTCTTTAGGCAGCAAAATGCCCCAATGTGCCTGGCTGGACCTGTGGCCTCTCCTTTATGCATACGCCCTTTTTCTTCGGACTGCCTAAGAGGCAGCCCTGAGTCTCTGCAATGAGCACAAGAGACTCCACGTTGGGATTTTGAAAGCACAGACATGGCGATTTCAGCATGAAGTCACTTGTCGCCCACCCTGGCTTACAGCTGCTTTCCCTGTTGAAGAGATCTGGCGAGCTTGAAAACTTCCACTCAGAGAGTCCTGTTGGACCATTGATTAAGCAGAATATAAAGTCAGTAATTAATAAATAAATAAATTTTCCTTTTATTTTGGAGACCTGTATAAGGGTCCACATTCCAGAGCAGTGCAGTGGGGCTGGGGGTAGACATGGTGCTTGACCTCTAAATAAGATTACCAAACAGAAAAGTACAGCTCTTTAAAAGATCACAGCGTTGTATAGATTTGGGGTTGCATTGCCAGGGATGCTACAAGCATTGGTCCCCACCCTCATAATGGCAGTGGAAGTATAAAGATGAGGAGAACCTACTGCTCTTCAGCAGCATCATTCTTCAGGGAACAAAAGGTTTATCTCTGAATTAAAGTTTGCATGCTTCTCCCAAAACAAAAGAATAACACGTCCATTTCTTTCATTGACCAGAAAAAACAGAAACATCTTGGTCATGCAAACTCATCAAAATAAATGGAATTGAAAATCATCATGATCAAAGACCTGTTCAGTTTAATGGCTCTAGTCAGGGTATGACTAAGTTTTGATTCAACCCATTATCTGAAAAGGCATTTAGTGGAATGCACCAAAAAGCTCTTCTTTGCATTTTGGAATTGACGTTTAATATTATACATTGGCTCTGAGTTATATTCTATTTTTACAATGAAGAGGTGGATGGAAGAGTTGAATTTGGATCTGGAATATTTAGGTTTATGTTTGAGCTCTTCCATACATTAGTAAGTCACTTTTGTGCCTTTGTTCTTCATCTGTAAAAAGGTGGCATGGATCTCAAGATTGTGAGCAGGAATGCGATGAAGATTGTAAAGCACATAAATTAAAAGGGTTGTATAAATAATTATGTGTAATGGTTGGGTGTTTGTAGTCTTAACCTGATATATTGCTATCCTCTCTATATGATTTTAAAGCTTTAAAATATATTTTGCTACTGCTTTTTAAAATGCTTTGCTTTTTGTTGTACTTTAAAATTGTTGTGGATATTTTAATTAAAATACCTCCTGTGTAAATACACACCTGGGTATAAATTTGAAGATTTGGTTGTGTGCCTAGAACCACCAGAAGTTTTGGACTACAAACACCATCATCCCTGTTTATTGCCATGCCGGCTGATTGAAATTGCTGTCTAAGCACATTGGAGAAGGCTGGTCAAGAAAATACAGCACAGACAAAGGCCAGGGTGAGGTTTAGGTCAAAATCTCTGGAGAGAGACAACTCCAGTCATCCATCATCATTGACTGTGTTGGCTGCGGACGGAAGTTGCAGACTGAAACATCTGGAGGGGCACAAGTTGAGCCATATGAGGGATGTTAAGTATGTATCATAGGGAGAAATGGCTCTGCATCTCTACACTTTATATTTCTAATACTTGTTAGGATCTAATAGCAAAAATGTAAGAGGGCTTTTAAATTGTTCCTGTGCCTTGCAAGTTTTGCTGTTTTGTCTATAAAAAAGTTACCATAAGAGGTTGGATTCAACTTGGAGTATTATCATTCTGGAACATAAAGTGACACTAGTACACACTTTTCACTTAGGTCTCAAAATTTTCTGGAGAATGTATATTAAAAATTGAGTGGTTTTGTATAGTGTTCCTATAGCAATATGTTTCAGATCAGTTTGGGGGAACTTACGGCTTTCCAGATGTTTTGGCCTACAGTCCCCATCCTCCCTCCCATCATTGGTTATCCTGCCTAAGGATAATGGGACCTGTAAGCCAACATATATGGAGGGCCATGAGTTGCAGAGCTTCTGTTTTGGACACCTGAGTTTCAGTGCATCATAGGTTGGCATTCCACTTGTTCACAAATGTCCTACATTTTGCCTGTTTCCATTATCTTGACTTGTTTCCTCTTAACAATGGCCTGCTTTGCATGATTACTATGGCTGAAATTAGTTATGGTCACTTCTTTAAACTGTGGTGTGTACTAGATGCTATTTGCATAATTACCTGTCCAGGCACTGCTTCACTTGAACTCAGGTAGCATGTCTTACCTGAGAGGAAAGCAACCTTCAAATAACCTATCGCTTGTTGTTGGGTTACATTTAAGATGTGGTGATCATACAGACTTGGCTTGTTAGTGTTTCTTACTGGTTCAGCATCTCTTCACCATTCCTCAGCGGGATGCTGACTTTGGGGCCCTGGCACTGACAGCTGATGCTCCTTTTCAGAAGAAAGTGTTATATCCTACTGCTGGATCAGATTTAGGGTCCATCTTGTCCAGCATGCTGTTCAAACAGGGACCATCCAGCTGCCTGTGGGAAACCCATAAGCAGAGCTTAAGTGTAATAGCATCCAGCAACCAGTATACTCTCTCAGATATTACAGGTATTGCTACAACACTGGTGGCCATCACTACTTGTGGTCGCAACTCCATAGGTTGAAAAGACAGTGAAAAAGCAGAACTTGCTACAGGTTTTCTCATCCTTCCCTCCACTGCATCTACTCAAAAATGGAAGATTCAGTAGTGGTATCTTATTTTTGCTACTTGCAGTAATTCTGTCACCCATCTTCTGTCTCCACTCACCCTTGCTCCCATTATCTTGGCTCATCGCCTCTTAACTTTGGCTCATTTCCCTTTCTAACTGTTGGGCATCTTTTCACTGTACTTCTGCGGGATGCTGACTTCAGCAGCTAATGCTGCTTTTCAGAAGCGCGGTTATTTCTGGAGAGATAACCCTCTCAAGAGATGTATTATTAGCAACATAATTCTTTATAAGATACAGTAAGTCTCTTCATAAGTCCACAGGCAGTTTCCTTCCCAAATGGGCCATCAAGTAAAGAATACAGAGGCCACGAGAATGACAAATTGCATACAGAATCCAATCCAACTCAAAGGATGGCTTGCTTTTAATGTGTAGGTGTTCTTGTTTCATTCAGGTAACCTATGCTTCCTTTTTTTAAGAGGCCATGGTGGTTTTAGCTCCTGTCAAGTTGTGCAAGTGCCTATTAAAAATACACCTCTCTTATGAGTCCAAGTCTGAGAGGAAGTGGGATTCAATATACCATGAATTAATTAGGCATTCAGCAGCATATAACAAATCTGAAGGTGGGGCAGGAAGCGAAGGAGACTGGATCTGTTCCAGTGCGCATTTTCCGTTACAATTTGGCACACTTTGCTGGCTATTAGAGGCATCCACTTCTGAGAAGTCAGTGATTAGATTTTGGAATTGGCACTTGATGCCAAGTATTGTCTTTGTCACCTGGTACGCATAATCGAACAGCCTTGGGAATCAAGGCTGCCCGGTATTTTGTATTCCAGAAATGACACCAGGGAACAGTGCATATGATGAGTGGATTTATTAATTGGACAATTTAAAACAATAACCTTGAAAAATGATGGCAATTGTTGGCTTTTGGACACTGGCTAATTATATGAGTCTTTGAGTTGTATCCAGTGTCACTCCTGCTTAAAGCAGACTCACTGAAATTGATAGTCAAACTAACACTGATCACAACCCTAGATACTTACGACCAAATGGACAGTGATGTACTAGAAATCCTGTAGAATTGCTGGAATCCGATAAAGTACACATTACACCACAAAGTAAATGGTAAATTGAGTTAGGTTTTTATTGCATTTTCAATTAATATACTAAAGCTAAATGAAATCATTACCAGGCTCATGTGATAATATCTGAAATATTTATAGGACTAGAAGAGTCCTCCCCTCACCCCTGCCTTTCCCATGCTTTTAATTTTATTAATGAGCCTCTGATGTGGTTGTAAAACTTTAGTTTTATGCTGCACTGTAAAAAGCTTTTTTCTAGAACTGCATGCATTTACAACCTGGCATGCCAACAAAATATCTGATCCAAGAACAGCTGGCCTTGGGACCTCTTTTTAAGAAGCTTTAACAAATATTTATGAATGAGCACTTTAGATGTGAAGTAGGCATGTGATGGCTTCATTAATATGGCACAGTTGTTATGATGTTGAGATGACCTTTTAGTCTGGAATTCATCCCTGGTGAATATTTCTTTAGGATGGAAAATGATTTATGCTATAGC